AGTAAGAAATTACGCGGCTTTGAGGTAAGTAATACTTCAAAACTTGGTTCTGAAAGTATGAATCCCCAAATTGTTGTTATAATAATTGTTTGGAGGTGCCGCACACGATAGTTGACGAGCGTATGGATGTGCACCATTAAAATTGTGACTTAAATAAATTCTGTGAAGTTGTAAAAATTAAAGAATCATGTTATTATCTGAACATTTCCCACGTGTTAGAGAAATTGAGCTGAGGCTCTTATTAAAGATCATGTTTAGGCTACGTGCCAATATTTTAAAATCGATGGGGTTGTGTTGATGTTGAATTAATTGTTTTAAAAATGTACATTTCACACTCAGTCATATTCATCCATTGTGAGGATATTTATGGGATCGAGTTGCGCGCCGCAGTAGGCCATATTGGCTTTATATATATTATTATTATATGGATAGGAGATGCCCGATTGCAGCAAGCCTTATAGGCTTTATTATTATTATGGGATCGGACTGCACGCCGTAGTAGGCCATATCGGCTTTATATAGTGCTTGGGCTGAAGGAGCCCCTCCGGAGTCTGTGCACACCCCAGTAAGCGTAGATGATTATATATATTCGGGATGGACTTCCCAGGGCATGGACTTACCTTACTTATTTATATGTAGTGATGAATTTTTCCTGGACATGGATCTTGTCCGTATAATTTACATTGGGGATAAATTACCCAGGGCTGGATTGGCCTTATACGGTACTGAGTAACTGGTTGTCAATTGATGTGTATATATATACGGGACGGAATATACCTGGGCTGGATTGGCCATAAACAGTATTGAGTGACCGAATAATTTGTGACTAGTATTTACATGAGGCCTTTCTACTGAGATGTCATATTCCTCATATCATATAGTATTGATCCATTTCACTTGTAATGAGTTTAACTGTTGAACTTGAAAACATGCCTACATTTTGGTACCACTATTTATACTGGACTGTACTCACAGAGCTCGTCACTACTTTCAACCGAGAGGTTAGTTTTATTACTTATTGAGTTGGTTGTACTCATACTAGAATCTGCACCTCGTGTGCAGATCCAGATGCTTCCGGATACGACGGCTGCTAGATTTCAGAATTACTTTTGTTGGAGACTATCAAGGTAGCTGCTTGACGTCCGCGGACTTGATTCCCTTCCTGTTTAGTTATTTTACTGTTCTATATTTCAAACAACGATTTTTTTTATCAGTCAGACTTTTTATTCATTTAGATGCTCATGTACTCAGTGACACCGGGTTTTGGGAATGTTTATATTTGTATTTGTGAGATTTCTTCCACTGAATTTAATTATTATATTTTCAAACTCAAAAGATATGGTGGTTTATTGAGATTGTCGGCTTGCCTAGTATTGAGATAGGCACCATCACGACAGGTGAGATTTTGGGTCGTGACAAGTTAGTATTAGAGCCTAGGTTATATAGGTCTCACGATTCTTGAGCAGGTTGAGTGGAGTCTTGAGGATCGGTACGCAGACGTCTGTACTTATCTTCGAGAGGCTGTCAAACCCTTGGAAAAATTTTACTTTCTTGTATTCTGTCGTGCGAATTTGTTGATTCTGGAAACTAAATTTCTGTTATTATATTCTCTCACAGATGGTGAGGACACGTACTAACGGATCGGATAGTCAGCTACCAGTACCATCAGTTATGGCCGTGAGAGTCCGGGGCCTTGGTAGAGTCTGGGGCCGAGGTAGAGTTCGAGGTGTAGCTCGTACAGCAGTTGGAGCAGCACCTGTAGCACCATCGGTTTCTCCAGCTCAGGAGCAGATTCTATATATAAATGAGCCGACAGGACCATCTCAGGTACCAGTTGTGCCCATTGTAATTCCAGGCTTTCAGGAGGCTCTGGCCTAGATATTGACAGTTTGCACTGGCCTTGCTCAGGTGGTTTCGGCTCAGGCCGCACCTTCCACTTCTCAGGCCGGGGGAGGTACTCATACCCCTATTGCTCGTACTCCAGATCAGGTAGTGCAGGGACTTCAGATACCGGGGGCACTACCAATTCAGCCAGCTGCAGTTGCTCAGGCCCCAGTAGTCCCCATTATGGTAGATGATGAGCAGAGGAGACTTGAGAGATTTGGGAAGCTTCGGCCTCCATCATTTAGCGGTGCTGAGTCAGAGGATGCTCAGGGTTTTCTAGATAAATGCTAGCGGATGCTTCAGACATCGGGTATTTTGGAGACCAGTAGGGTCTCGTTCGCTACTTTTCAATTTTCTGGAGCTGCCTTTAGTTGGTGGGAGGATTATGAGAGACGCAGGCCAGTCGGTGCAGTACCACTTACATGGCAAGAGTTCTCTGTTCTCTTTTTGGAGAAGTTTGTGTCGTAGTCTTGTAGAGAGGAGTTGCGCAGGCAGTTTGAGCAATTACGTCAAGATGACATGTCTGTGACGCAGTACAAGATGAGATTTTCTGAGTTGGCTCGTCACGCAGTTTTGTTGGTTCCCACTGATAGGGAGAGGATTAGAAGGTTCATTGATGGCCTCATATATCAGCTACAATTACTTATGACTAGGGATAGGGTATCTGGTGCTACTTTTGATGAGGTAGTTGACATTGCTCGGCAGATAGAAATGGTCAGTAGCTAGGAACGTGGATAGAGGGAGGCCAAGAGGTCTCGTGGACCAGGTGGTTTCAGCGGTGTCCCTTCAGGGGGTCAGTTTTACCGCGGTAGGGGTCTTTCTTACATACACGCTCAAAGGGGTCGTCTAGTTCACTGTGGTGCATCATCCAGCCATGGTTTATACAGTTCTCATCAGGGTCAGTCATCTTTCGATGCCCTTCCAGCCCAGAGTACGCCCCATGCTCCTTCAGTTCAGGGATCATCTATACAAGGTTTTTCTAGTAATTATTCCGGTTCTGGAGGTCCGCCTCAGAACTCGCCACCATTCTTCGAGAGGAAGTGTTATGAGTATGGAGAGTTGGGTCATGTGAGAAAATTTTTTCCCCGCCTTACTCGAGGTCCAGTTCAGTAGAGGAGTCAAACTACTACTTTTGTACCAGTTGCTATCTGCCCAGCCAGCTCGGGGTAGGGCTCAGTCATCTAGAAGGCCGATCAGGTAACGGTCAGGCCCGATTCTATACTTTTCTTGCCAGGCCAGATGTTGTTGCTTCAGATGCAGTGATCACAGGTATTGTCTCAGTATGCCACAGGGATGCTTCTATATTATTTGACCCTGGTTCCACTTATTCGTATGTATCATCGTACTTTACTCATTATCTGGATATGCCCCGTGAGTCCTTAGTTTCACCTGTTTGTGTATTTATGCCGGTGGGCGATACTATTATCGTGGACCATGTGTATCGGTTTTGTGTGGTAACTATTGGGAGACTAGAGACTAGAGTTCATCTCTTACTGCTTACTATAGTTGATTTCGATGTAATCCTGGGTATAGATTGGTTGTCTCCATGTCATGCTATTCTGGACTGTCACGCAAAAAACGTGACGTTGGTGATGCCAGGGTTGTCGAAGGTCGAATGGAGAGGTTCTCTAGATCAGGTTCACAGCAGGGTAATTTCTTATTTGAAAACCCAGCGTATGGTTAGGAAGGGGTATTTGTCATATTTGGCTTTTGTGAGAGATGTGGATGCAAATACTCCTGTCGCGCCCCATTTTCTCGCGAAAGCGGGCTTCGACATGGTGACAACTCTTTTAAATGGGTATTAAAAGAGGAGAGTCGCCACTTAACGGTTTTTAAGGTGCGTTAGGGCACCTACTTGTAAATAACTCTGTTTGAACTAGTCTGTGTCACCAAAGATCGGGTAAGGGCTCAAATTACCTCAAAGAGAAGATGTTAGGCACTCTTAGAGGTCCACAACTGTGGGTCCCGACCGAATTATACACTATGTAGGATTTATTAAGTTAAACTAGGTTGCTAAATTGTTAATTAATCGTAGGTGGTCAAATATGCACATCAACGGAAAGCACATAAATTAATTAAATCTGATCATGAAAAGAATAAAAACATGTAAGAGTTGTAATAAATATTTTTATGAAAGACTAATTGATTATGTTAAAGGGGGACCTAAGTTTTTAAGCCTAACATATCAACTCTCGAGCAAAGTCTGCTAAGACTTTTATAGCCAAAAGTGCAATGACTATTTGGGCAATTTATGTATCATGTCCGCTACTCTCATTACTATCTTTAAATTGTTAACCTAAGAACGCACTAATTAATTCTAAATCACGTCTTAATTCAAAACTACCTGTCCCTTCCTATAGTCCAGGAGGCGTTGGACACTATCTAAAGGGAAATTTTAGACTTAAAGAAAAGCTCAGGTTTCAATTTCTATTCTTATTAGCGTCACATAAAAGGGAGCACATTAGGACTTAACCAAGTAACACATAAGGCAAGTAAGGGCTCACGTAGGCCTCCGAATTAATTAAGTAAACAAGTAATAATTAGTATAGTAAGAAAATAAGCTCTTAAGATATAGTGAAATTTTCTAATTTTAAGATTCAAAGGCATGATAATAATAAACACGAATGTAGTAGGTATTAGATGTAAGAGTAGTAAAATGAAGGAGATCAAAGCTTATTCAAGGAGATGAACTGGGCAATTCAAATTGAAAGAACTGATCATTGAGATAAATGCTAAGGTAACGTGCCCAAGCATTATGATAAGGGAGAAGAAATAGTTGGACAAGCCCAAAGATGTATTCTAGTTAGGTACTAAAAATTTATTTCTTTTCTCTGAAAAATGAAGTTCAACAATATATGGAATAGGTTCTACTCATTTTATGCAAGTGGCCCAGAAGCTTCAACACTTGAGATGTTTGTTAAATATTTACAAAAGATTTGAGTAGCAAAATGCAGAAAACTTGGTGTTTTTCAAAAACCTATATTACTATCACGAACGAGAGCCATTGTTCAGCATAGAATTAGACAAAAGCTTCTTTATCTTATAGCTAGATGTATCTGCTAAGCTATAATAGGTACTATAATAGAGATGCTATTTAAACTTTTTTTTAAAAAAGGTCAAGAAACACAGAGAGCAATTAGTCACTCCATCCCAATAGTCCCCAATTCATTATCATATCAAGTTATTACATGCCAATTGAATAGAGTTTACAATCCAGAGTTCGAGAAACTAAATAGGCAAACATGAACTTCGAAACAAATCATCTTGGCTTTCCCAATCACATGCGACTCCCAACTTGACTCAAACATCAAAAATATGCCCCATTTACACAAAGAAGACATATATTGCAGGTTAATTTACCATAGAAGCAGACTTCGGGCTTAATTACCGATGTATTTCCCTACAAACATGATCGTTATGCATTCAAAAAAGGCTTTCCATGATTTCGAGCTAAATTCAAATCGCAAGAACAAATACAGGATGTTACTAGACTTGGGCCTTAACAAAAAGTATGTCTTACTGTTATTATTCACCTTAGGGGGCATCTTAGCAGAACTCATGAATTGCTTGTTGGGTATGAAATTCACACTTGTCGCCATTAATTAGTTCAATCCTAGAAAATGATTAGGTGATTAAAATTCTTAAGCATGTGAAACATAAATGTATACACTTGATCTCTACACAATAGAGGATTCGTTCAGATTAGGTCGCATAAGTCCGACTACTCTTATTACACATCGGGACTGAAAGCGAAAGACGAGGTACTAACCTGTTTTGCTTCCAAACAGAATGCTTAAAGCATTCACATCCGCACAGCCGAACCAAAGACACAAAAAGAAAAGTAATCTGACATTCGGCATACACACAGTAAAAAATGCAAAAGACAAGGGGACACATCTCGTTTCTTCCAGCAGAATGCTTAAGAGCACTCGAACATATAAAAAAAAGAACAAATCTACACACAACTGCACATAGAGAAAAAGTAATATGCGAGAGGCAAGAAACTTACCTGTTTGCCAAGTGCGAATAATCGAAAAAGTAAAGAAAACCATATATGTATTGGTACTAAATTTGAAATATAAGCTATAACCACCGGAATGAAGTAAGCGCAGAAAGCCCCAAGCTCTTGACAACTTTGTATTTTCTAAGGTCTCGATGAACACCAATCAAGTTTCGTGTTGATGGAGGAGCAACAATAGCAGTACCAGTAATGAGAGAAAGCTAATCTCTGCTTTGACTTGCAGCCAGCATAGTAATAAAATAGCGGAATCGAAATAATAGTGCAAGGACAGAAACTAGAAAGAGAAAATCAAAGCAATGATCAATCGGTTGAATATGTAGTGTAGGGATGTGAAAGTTCAGTCGCAAGCCTTGCAAGCAGATGTGAATAAAGTGTAACTATAACCCATATGCCGTAGTAGAAAAAGGGGGTATAGAGATGAATCAAGTGTATACTTATAAGTTGTGGTAGAAATGTATAAATAATTCATGAAAAATCCCCCTTAGCGCATAGAACTAGTCAGTATTTATAGTAGAGAATAATTAGACTTAAGAGTGTGTCCCTATAATAGAAAAGAATCATACTATCGTGTATCAAAATTCTCGTTAGGCAAGGATTTGGGGATTGAAGCGAAATTGGAGTAAAAAATGAACGTTTGATGATTGATTTTGACAGATAGAGATTATGATTATTGGAAACGTTGCGTTACATAATCAGTAAAATTAGAAAAGTAACCTTCTTCACAAACCAAAAAATCAGAAGAGAATATTGGTAATTGAGTTTCCAAAATTACAATCTAATCAATACAAGAAAGCGAAGAATAGGTGAAGCACTTACCCGAAAATCTGTCCACATTCATCCAATTGACTTGAATCTGCGAATGTCGAAATGGAAAGAAGAGCATGCCAATCATGACAGCGGCTTGAGCTAAAATTGGGGCTAAAATCTCGGCTCTAAAAGGAAGTAAAAATCGAAATTTTTTCACAAATTTGAAGATGAAAACAATTAAGGAAAGAAAGTAAGAAGATAGAAACATACATAAAGAAACAAATCAAAAGAATTAACGAAAGGTGTAGGTGGGGTTCTGCGAAGTTGTCGTGGAAGACGATGATTTGGGAATTGTAGGAAATTTTAAATAATTTGGTTTAAAGGCTAAATGTTATTAGGATGCTTGCTGGCAAGGTGGGTTTGGACCTAGTTGGCAGAGTAAGTATTAGTTAGATGAGTGAAATTTGGGCCAACAAAGATTATGGGCTGCTAAATTAATTAAAGAGTAATAATAATAATAATAATAATAATAATAATAATAATAATAATAATAATAATAATAATAATAATAATAATAATAATAATAATAATAATAATAATAATAAGAAGAAGAAGAAGAAGAAGAAGAAGAAGAAGACTATTTACCAAATAATAGTAGTAATTAACTACTATATATAAATCATAAACAAGTTAAAACAAATCAGGTTTATATTACCGAATATTGCTTATAAATAACAAAATATGTAGTGAATGTCATAATAAGGATGAAAAATATTGTGATAAACTTGTAGTAGTATTTAGAAAAAAATATAAATATTATTATGACCTTTTTGAATAAAATAGCAGCTTAGTAGGATAAATTCGGGTATATAAGGACAAAATAGGGTGTCAACAGTTGTCCTCTTTGCCCGAGAATGATAAAAGAGTTGCCGGGCAAAGAAATTGACGTAGTAGCCAATTTTGTCCGACTGATGAAATATTTGTGTAAGAAGAAAAGGCAATAAGAGTTTTGAAAAATATTGTGGACGAACTCTGGTTTTTGAGATGCCTACATATCTCGGGCTTTACGAGAATCAGGCCGTGTGTAGTTCTAGATTAAGGAAGGACATGAATCCCTAAAAATTTGCCCCAGTATTGAATTATGATCATACTGGATATTATGATCGTATAAAAATAGAAGCGTATGGTAAAAATAGGATTGAGAAGTAATGTGATTCTAAGTAAAGTGAAGACGGTTGAGAAGATTGAGAAAAAGATAAGTAAGTGGTGAAAATGAATGTTATAAAGAGGATAAAGGCACGCTAACTACTTGAAGAAAATGTTAATTCTAAAAAAAAAATTCCAGTATGAAATTGCGATGATATTAGAATTGAGTAGAAATAAAAAATAGAGAGATACTGGAAGCGAAAATTGCCCCAGTTTGAGAACAAAACTTCTTGTGATTTTTTGTGCCTTGTACCTGCAAACTTCAAGTATTGCTACAAAAGATAATTAGTATGTAAGCACATGTAAGCATTAATAGGATGAATGTAATTTACTGAAAATATTTAAACTTGATGCAAATTCCCTTTAGACCATGAAAGTTGTCTTCAGACGATGGGGATGATGTCCTTAGACCATGACATCCTGGGCCATGAAACATATAATAAAGGGATTCACAGGCTATGAAATGGTGTCCTCGGGCCATGAGGATGGTGCCGTTGGACTATGACGCCTTTGAATAATGATATACAGCTTTGAGATCCTTAGGCCATGGAATATTGTCCTTAGGCTATGAAGATGATGCCTTCGGACAATGTGGCGATATTTCAGCCCATGATATGCAAAGATGCGGCGATATTGATTGTTCAATAGAGGAAATAGGCAATGCTTAGCCATATGCGAGAATAAATGAAGGCAATGCTTAGCCTTGTGTGAGATGAGGGCAGTGCTTAGCCCTATGCAAATAATGAGGGCAGTGATTATCCCTGTGCAAATGAAGGTAGTGTTTAGCCTTATGCAATGACGGAGGCAGCGCTTAGCCTCATGCAATATAATGAGGGCAGTGCTTAGCCCGATGTAGAGAGCCCGATGTAAAGAAAGGCAGAGCTTAGCTTCATGCAATGTAATGAGGGCAGTGCTTAGCCCTATGCAAATTATGAGGCCAATGCTTAGCGTTATGCAGATGTAGAGGCAGTGCTTAGACTCAAGCAAGTAGAAGGGTCGTGCTTGACCCTAATGTAGATAGAGAGGGTAATGCTTAGTCCTATGCAAAGAAAGACAATGCTTAGCCTTATGCAAAGAAAGGCAATGCTTAGCCTTGTGCAATAATGGAGGCGGAGCTTAGCCTCATGCAAGTGGGGGAAGGCAGTGCTTAGCCTTATGCAAATGATGAGGGGCAGTGCTTAGCCTTATGCAAGTAATGAGGGCAGTACTTAGCCCTATGCAGAGGAAGGCAATGTTTAGCCTTATGCAATACTGGAAGCAGAGCTTAGCCTCATGCAAATAGGGATAGGCAGTGCTTAGCCTTATGCAAGAATGGAGGTAGAGCTTAACCTCATGCAAGGATAAAGGCAGTGTTTAGCCTCATGCAAGTGGAAGAAGGCAGTGCTTAGCCTTATACAAGAATGAAAGTAGAGCTTAACCTCATGCAAATGATGAGAAGGCGGTGCTTAGCCTTATGCAAGTAGAGGTAGACAGTGGTTAGCCTTATGTAAATGAGAGAAATCAATTCTTATCCTTATAAAGGTGAAGACTTCGTGCTTTGTGGTGTATATCCCTATGCAGGTGGTGGTCCTCGCGCTTTGCAGCGTATGTCTGTTGAGAAATTCTTGACGAGGTTGTACCTATCATTCGTTTTCGAAGACTTTGATGATATAATCCCAAATTTTGAGGAAACTCAAAATATTTGCCACAGTTTCGTCTTTGGAGAGAAATTGAGTTTTTGGTATAATGAGACTGAACCCAATAATAGGCTACCTACGTATCCCCTCTTATACAGAAAATCTGGTCAATACATAGTTCATATTTGAAACTTATAGAATCGCTTGAGAGTGCAAGATCTATATGATAGGATAGTCCTCTATTGAAGTCCTGGTGAATGCTCCAAAAGTACAGAGTGTGATTATAAGATCGAACTTAGACAAAACAATTTTAGAAGAGTATCACAGATGGGTGGGTGGAGATTGGTAGAGTAATAGCATAGTGCTTGAGTGGTATTGACAATCAAGACTACAAATCTCGGGAAGGTCCCAACGATCTAAGATTCGGGCACATATTCTGGAGATAAGCAAACAAAGTGCCGAAAGCAAACGCATGGGTCTAACCTCCTTGGACTTTGGATGCTATGCCTTGGATGTAAAAACGTGCAAGATACGCAAGGAAACGAAACTATTAGGCCACATTTGACGCTAAGATAGAGTTGAATTACTTTAATAAAATAGAGATTGATTGTATGAAAAATCGAAATGCCTTAACCTTTTTAAAAATAGAATATTATGCCAGTTGGACAAAAATGTCCGAAGAACCCAAGTTAAGAAAATTTCATATAACTCGAGTATTGCATAAGTTGGGATACGGAACGAATATCCAAAAATGACGTTATTTGGATGCTAGCCCTAAGACATGATCTGGAGTGGGTTGAATAGAGGATAGTGACAATTGAATGGTAATCTCCTTTTGAAAAAGTTATACCCACATAAGGACAGTTAAGATGAAATATCCCTTGAGAAAGAAATCACGCCATTAACTACGACTGATGATAATGATAGATCAGTTCTTTTATGTAAACAATGGATGTAATACTTCATTTAGGAAAAATAAGAGGTTATGGTTGTGGGACGGGAAGATAGATTGTCCAGGCCCAAGATTTGCATTATTTGAGCCTAAGAATAGAAGTCTAAGAAATGCTCAGGACTTGATTGTGTTAAGCGTGTAGTAATTTTGAAAGAATATGTCCTGAATGCTTTGAAATAAATAGTAAGCGAATAAGTATAGATATTTAAGAGATATAGATATACAGATAAGCCGTTATGGGGATGGCACAAGAGATAAGGATGTTTTGAATGAGTTAGCTCTGCTCCTCCTAAATTAGAATAGTTTAAGACAATAAATAGTCAGCATATTAGCACATGCTTTTCCAAATAAGGCACATAAAGTATGAAGCTATCACTTGGGATTGTAAAAATCCCATTGGACTTAATACACCAAGGGTATTCATCCATCCTAGGTTCAACATGATGCTTGCACAGTTTCCACCAGAGAAGGTTTTTAAGGGGGGACTAAACTGGTACTCTCAAGCGGACAACTTGAGAGGGAAAGGTACGGTGTAACGACCCGACCGGTCGTTTTACTTGCTAGAATCTCGTTCCCCTAAATAAGACTTCACGTACTTGCTTTTGCTGATTTATGACTTGCAGGGATAGTTGGTTCGGGATTTGGAAGAGTTTGGATTGAAATCGGATCACTTAGTTCCTTAAGTTTGGCTTAAAAGGCTAAGCTTGACTTTGGTCAATATTTTGAGTAAACAACCTCAGAATCGGGATTTGACGGTTCCAATAGGTTCGTATGATGATTTCGGACTTGGGCGTATACTCGGATTGGGTTTTGGATGGCACGAGAGCATTTTGGCGCCTAATAGTGAAAGTTGGTTCTTGAAGAACTTTGAAGTTCTTTAAATTTGGCTTAGAGCGGGTTTTGGTGATATCGAGGTCCAAATAAAATTTAGAGATCGGGAATAGTTCTGTAATGACATTTAAGACTTGCACGCAAAATTTAGTGTCATTCCGAGTAGTTTAAGTATGATACGACGCATTCGGAGCGATTTAGAAACTTGAAGTTCAAAGTTTGATTCAATTTGGTTTTGGGTGTGATTCTTGGTTTTGTTGTTGTTTTACGCATTTCGAGAGTTCGAGCAAGTTCGTATTATATTTATAGACTTGTTGGAGTAGTTGGACGGTGTCCCGAGGGACTCAGGTGCATTTCGGACCGCCCTGAGTTGAGTTGAAACACACCAGATTTCCGCTGCTGGTTTCTTTCTTCGCGAACGCGGTCAGACCCTCATGTTCGCGATGAAGGATTTGGGGTCTGTGGGCTGGGAAGCTTTTTCCCTTCACGTTCGCATACGTAGGACCGCGTTCGCGGAGGTCTGGGCCCTGTAGTCTTCGCGTTCGTGTGACCTAGCCCGCGTTCGCGTAGAAGAGGCTGATCTAGGTGGTCGTTGTTCATTCTTCGCGTTCGCGAAGAAGCCCTTGCGTTCGCGTAGGGTAGGCCAAGCGAATCTCCGCGTTCGCATTGCTCCTGTCGCATCCGCGATGGGAAATTTTCCTTGGGCCTGGGCTGTTTGCCTTCGCGATCGCGAGGCCTCTTCCGCGATCATGAAAAAGCGGAGC